CAGGTTTCGGGGAGATCGTGGTGGTGAAGTAAATGAAAAATTAAATTGTTCACTTCTTTTGTTATCTTCTTATTTCCTTCTCAGAAAATTTCCCACCGAACGTTACTATGATCACTGATACCAACAATGTTCTTGAGGACAAAGTACTTTGTGTAAAGGTTTACGAAGCTGTTCAGCTGATGTTAACGGCTGAAGATCCTAATGACGGGGATATGGTCAATTTTACTTTAGCCGACTCTGTTCCCGATGGTGCAGCTATTAGCTCTGGTAAATACAAAAAATATTTTAATAATTGTATTTCAGTAGCCTGGTAGCCATAATGTGGTTTTCATACATTAGTTGCAGCTGGGAAGTACAAACATTATGGCTTTTGCTACTAATGCCTCGGTCACATTTGCTCTACGGCTAGGATACGGCGGCCGTACGCCCCCAAACTCGAGAGATACTTGCGGCGGCCGCAGAAGATCTGCGGTGGCCTCAGTGTAACCTTTAAATAGGGCGTATACCTGTCTTTACGGGCCGTACGGATCGCTGATGGATTATAACGCAGAGTTATAACTGTTTATATTTCTAGTTTTGCCGTAGCATTTATACACGCCGTACGGTAGCCTTGCGTTTTATATACTCCAGGGGTGCAGCGGTAGCATCAGTCTGGCCGCAAGGTCGCCGTATGGTCCCCCTTCGGCCGCCGTGCGGGCACCTAACGGCTACCTTGCGTCTGCCGTAGTATTTTTAGTAGATGTTTATGTGTTCTTAGGGATTATTGCCAAGGTCCATGTCATGTAAATTTACATTCAATTATGAAATACATTCTCATGAAACTCGTAATGCTGGTATTTTCATTGTCCTAAAATCCGTACAAAAGTTTCAAAAAATACAATTTTTTTCCAAGGGCCAGTTTTATGGAAAATTATTTCATTAAAAAAAAAAACTCTAATTTAGTGAATATTTTTAAACGATTGTATAAATCCCATCTCTTATCATTGTATTCAATCTCAAAATAAATGACGTTAAATTTCAGTTAATGCACTTTTTAATGTATTCCCCCTCCCCTTCCCTTCTTCTTCGCCTTTTTTTTTTTCTTCTTTTGTATTTGTATTTAGAGTTTCTCTGCTTTCCTTTCCTTTTTTGTTCTTCTTTTCTCAACAATACAGTGTATATTGTTTAAGGGGTTGATGTTCATCAGGCTAATTGCCCTTTTTGTTAACCCCACATTCCCTTAAAATTTTGTTTGCTCCTTCCCTTTGTATTTTTCTTGTAATTGATCTTTCATTTGTATACCATGTTTGTATGTGTTAATGTTTTTATGGAGAATAAAAAAAAATGAAATTAAATGAAATTAAATGAAATGAAACTCTGTGTATATAGATGGCTCTGTTTTACAGTATGGCTGTATTTAACAAATTTCTTGTCTTATCTTTCAGAGGGCTTATTTGAGTGGACACCATCGAGTCTCAATGTATCGAGGATTGAAGTCGTGGTCAGTGATGACCGAGGTGCGCAAACGGTGGTCTCTCTTAAGGTCAAGATCTGCGAATGCATGAACGAGGGAGTATGTGACTTTCAGACCTTAGCCGTAGGCCAGAATCTCAACGCTAATGGATTCGCGGTGAGTTGATCAGTATTTCAAAGTCCCAACGACATATATGCTTGTCGTCCAGATAACTGGTTCGAAATAGCATATCCTGTCCATGCGATTCGACACAAAATAATTCAAGCAACGGGCTGGGTCAGGGCAAAATCAGTGTTTTGAAACTTTAACCTTGACAACTTGTCAAGTACGACACTTTTGTATTCTATTGTTTTATGTTTTACATGACCTCCAATTGAAACAACCAGTATTGATTTAATAACCGTTCTACCCTAAAAATAACTTGATATATGTATGTGTATACATCAAATTGTACAACAGATTGGTTTAATACGTGATCATGTATTTACATGTGTAATACTTTATGCTGTAACATGAAATTGTAGCGCACAGTTGATCATCTGATCATAAATTTGCATAATTGTTGCATTTTCAGAATGTCAAGCGCATTCGTACCGACGGTTTATTCAGGCGAGCATGTTTATAGTTGCATGTTCTTTTTTTCAGGGGCCCTATTCTTAAAACAATGTGATATTTATAAGGAGAAATGATGTAAATTGTCATAGCGTACTGAAATTACACGGAACAAACACTTCTCATTGGTGGTCGCCTCTTTAAATTTACGCATGCGCAGCTGCACTTGTGCAATTATAGACCTAACTTGTCCCAAATTTGGATAGTTAACATTGATTTACGGACATGAAATATATCTCAGTGTTTAGAATATCACCCCAGGTTGTCACAAGCAATGTAGAAATGGTTGGTTATGTCATCATGTTTTAAAAATATATTAATCTTTAAGGTTGTCACATGAAATTGTAAATGCGAACAATTGCCAATACACAAGTTTACAGTTGTATCAGTGCGCATGCGCAGACATGGGCGCCATTTTAAATGGTGAGTAAACAAAGCCAATGACCTAGAGGTCATGTAATACACCAGTTTACAGTTGTATCAGTGCGCATGCGCAGACAGTCGACCTCGGGTCATTGGCCCCGGAAGCGGGGCCAATAACCTTTGACCTTTGTATTTATGCGTAATTTAAGATTGCGCCCATGCAAATAATGATGTGCGCGCACAACGCAGCGCGTAGGGCAGTGATATCATCAAAATTTGCATGGGCGTAATCTTAATTTACGCATAAATACATGACCTCTATGTCATTGGCTTTGTTTAAAATGGCGCACACAACTGTAAACTGGTGTATTATGCGTAAGTTAAGATTGCGCCCATGCAAATGATGATGATATCACTGCCTGCGCGCTGCGTTGTGCGCGCATATCATCATTTGCATGGGCGCAATCTTAATTAACGCATAAATACCACTGACCTAAAGATCATTGGCTTTGTTTACTCGCCAATTAAAATGGCGCACACAACTGTAAACTGGTGTATTCAGGTACCAACAGATCGTTGCACTTACGTCATTGCAATGCCTTGTAAGAAGAGTCCCAAAGAGGCTAATCAAATTGGTTCGCTGCAGCTCAGATAATGTTGTTCCATTCATGTATTCAAAAGCAGAAGTAACTAATAATGTATTTTTAATACACATATAACGTGTAAAATCTGATGAGCAAATAATGTAGGAATGTGTAAATTTATTTACATTTGTTAAACATTCAGGTTGTCACGTGCAATTGTACCATCGGGTGGTCAGGTGACCATTGTGATGTAGAATTCGACGCCTGCGCAGGGTCTCCCTGCTACGAGGCGGTATTATGTATGGACAGCCCCGCTGGGGTGACGCCTGAATTTCAGTGTGGTGACTGCCCGCCAGGCCTGCAGGGTGACGGGGAAACATGCTATGGTATGTGATACCAAGTCACTACAGCTTTGCTCTAACTTTCATACGGAGAACCCACTTAAAACAAACAAATTGCTCCCTCCCCCTCCCAATTTTCTTTAAAACAGTAATAATAATTTGATCATTTATGCCTGAAAGCAAATCAGAGAAGAGGAGGAGGTACAGGAAAAGGAAAATGAAGCGAAAAAAGAAGAAGAAGTAGAGAAAGAAGAAGGGGAGGAGGAGGAAACGGAAGTGGAAGAAGAACGAATATGATAGTGGCCGGACCTCTGTAAGCTTTCACTTCACTTTATGAGATGTGTAAACTTAGTTTTATTGGTAAAAACTAAATATTAGCAAAGCATACATATACATGTATTTTTTAGCAACGAAGCCCAGTATGGAACTCACATTTTTATGCAAGACATTCGTCCACATTTGCAACTCTCACCCAAGTGTTACATGGGTACCAGGTATGATGAACCTATTGCAATTACGGCTGCCAGAGCTAAAGCCACCCTCCAAACTTCTTTGGGAGCTTATACGGATTATATATCAATATAAATATGATATGAGCTACACTAGAAAACTTTGGTATCATCAATTTCATGATTTCTCCTTCGGAATTTAAGATGTCAATGAATGCCAAAGCTACACGACCAACGACTGTGAGCAGACCTGCCACAACATCCTCTATGGATACTATTGTTCTTGCGACGATGGATTTACTCTTTCTCTGGATACACGTGCATGTATAGGTATGAATGCTGGAGAACCACCGAAAACTAGGGCTCATGCAGGGCCATGTTTCATTAAACTTTCATTAAACTTCAGAATTAGAGAACGAATGATGCTTAAGTGAGAGTAGTAAGACTTGTGATTGTTGTTGTTGCTGTTATTACTATTATTAGTAGTATACTTATACATATAATCATCATTAAATTATCATAAGCATGTCAAATATTAACTCATGTTAATGGTCATGGTATATACGCTTGTTCAAATTCACAGAAAAATATCAGTTTTCATACGTCTTTCTATCTATTAGCTTAACTATATAAATGCCTCTTTCAAATCCTGATGAAACTAATTTTGTTATTCTTTTTGTAACATATATATATATATATATATATTTGTTTTGGAAACAGACGACGCAGGTTGTACGCCTGCTGCAATGATCAATACTGGTTCTTCTAATTGTACATGTGACCCTGGTTACGAGTTTGATAATGGAACCTGTTCAGGTGAGATCTCTTGAATTACATGTGTATACATTAGTTATGTAATATTATATCTATATCACATGCATGTAAATAGTTCTCGCTTAGTTTATCCACATGTTATAAACCTATTGATTTCAAACGCGATAGCGACTAATTTCTTAAAATCAACCTAACATAATAACGGTAGCTGTGTGATGAAAAGTATCTGAAATAGGACATTTATATCCCAAAAAAAAGTTTTTATATAACTCTACCATGGTTTACAAATATCATGTAAATGTGAGTAAAATTGTATTTTGTGTCGTGATTAAAAGGTGGACCCGGGTAGCGGTTCGTGAAGCGTTATATATATGTAAAGGTTTACAGACATTCCATTGCAAAGTGTTTTAAATTCAGAAACACAATGTATGGCTATGTTTATGCAGATTTCGACGAATGTTTGGGAGAAGTTGATGACTGCCCTGAAGCTTCAACATGTATAAATACAGATGGGGATTACTTTTGTAGCTGCATTGATGGATTTAATACAGTCAACGAAACAAAGTCATGCGAAGGTAGAAATATAGTACCATTACATGTCATGAACATAGCGTATTGAGAGAGGTAGTTGTGACATGCCCACGCATATGATCCTTGGGTAGCGTGTGCGTGTGTGTTCGCTACAACTGTCTCACTCAACATGCTATGGTCATGAGGGTTCGGCGAAAATTATCATAACTAGCAGTAGTAGTAGGAGCAGTGGTATAACAAAAATATATTATTGGATGCCCGTTCAGTATGAAATACAGGCATTTTGATATTGATAATAGATAATTGATAACACATGTATTAGATGCTGCTTGTATTGAATGTATTTTGTATGTGTTATTTTGGGGGTATTGATACTATCATGTCTTTTAACTACAGGACTAAGATTCAAAACAGTCCTGCAACTTATTATGTCATGCTAGATAGATATGTTTGAATAAATGTAACATTTGATTTGTCCCCTTTAGATATCGATGAGTGTGCAACTAGCAACCACATGTGCAACGAAAGTTTGAATCGTGTGTGCATGAACACCGTAGGAAACCACACCTGTATCTGTAGTACGAGTTATGCCCTTGTCGACGGATCATGCGAATGTAAGCTTTGATATAGTACAATACTTTCTTATTTATTTAGGTATAAATAATGATATTCTTGCTCAGTGTACACATATTTGAAAAAAACCCTTTCATAAACCGTATAAATGAATTCAGGCAAATAAAGATAGGGCTATTTACAGAGGGCAGATTACCGGATTTTGAACTATCAGAGAGGAAAACAAGGACGAAATGATATCATTTGTTTCAGTGCTTATTTGTTAAATTTACAATAAGCTTCTTTGAATGGAACAACCTTTCATAACCGCCTGCTTCTGTATCATATATCATAGGTTTGTTGGTGAGTCAACTCCCTGTCTATTTAACCTGTTGTGTATTTATTGTCTGCAAAGAAGGTCAATTTCACCATTTAATTGGGAGGTGGGTACCAAAGGAACGCATTCCTGACGGGAAAAATGGTTAGAACATCTTTTAAAATTGCCGTCCTTTTCAATATATCTCCCGGCTATGCCTCCAAAATAGTGCACGTGCATGGGTGTCGATCCCGGGGGGATGGGGGGATAAATCCCCCCCCCCCACAATATTTCAGGTGGGGGATGGCCTGTACAATCACCCCCCCCCCCATTAATTCACCATCAACAAACAAAAAGAGAACAAATAATGATGAGAGCCCGACGAGAGTAGTTAATGGTTATTACTCGCAAGATGACCATCAATATACACATTTTGCTATCTTATTTTCATAATACATACATATACAAATATAAAACGAAGTAAATGAGACAACCATATATAAGACAAGGATAAATTGAATTCTCGCTCATACGGCTTCATCAGGAATTGATGAATTAATTCAATTTATTCAATCAACAGCATCATAGAAATGCAGTGCGCAAAATGCAAAGCCGCAGCGTTAAAAAGCAACGAGCTAAATGTTAAGCGCGAGGCGGAAAAATGCAAAAAAAGAAGTAGAGAGACAGAGAGGATAATAACCCAGATAGCAAGCCCATGTGGGACCCACATGTTTAAACATTTCGGGGAAACTACATGTAGATTCAAACAACGATTAAGAGTCAACAACGGTGCCACGAATCGTCTTGCTTTCTCTATATTTCGATAAAACGGGGGAAAAACTGAATTCAGATAAGGATAAAGAGTCGAGAACGGTACAACGAATCGTTTGCTTTCTCGCATAAGTTAAGGAAACGTCAAAGCTTCCGCGCTTCGCGCGGGAGGGAAACTGAATTCAGACAAAATAGGGTTAAGAGTCGCGAACGGTACAACAAATCGTCTGCTTTCTCTCATAATTTAATGAAACGTCAAAGCTTCCGCACCTCGAGCGAGAGGGGGAAACTGAATTCAGATAAATAGGGCTTAATTAGAGTCGAAACGGTGCAACGGATCGTCTACTTTCTCTAATAATTTACTGAAACGTCAAAGCCTTAGTGCTTCGCGTGGGAGGGGGGAAACTTCATTCAGACAGGGATTAACAGTCCAGAACGGTACAACGCATCGTCTTCTTTTCTTAGTAATGTAAGGAAACGTCTAAGCTTCCGCGCCTATATTACCAACACCCCCTTATTCGCGCGCTCTTTAAGTTACAGGCTTGCTCACTACCACCCCTCCCTAAAATAAGACCCTATCTCCGTGCCTGCATTAAAATATATATAGCTGTGAGGCTGACTTAGTTGACGAAATAATTTGTATATATGTATGTCGTCGAGGAAAATGACCATTTGCGCATACGCAAGTACTATTGATAGTCCACAGGAAAAACAATTTAGCCTTCGGCCCCGGATTTATAGGGTTAAATTTATAGATATTGAGACATTTAATTTTGTCGGTAATTGGGGGCTAGTTTTGTCTGTAATCGTTGGCCTCTACACCCCCCCCCCCCCCACTCTTATATTCTCTGAAATGTTAACTTTATTGAGGGTGAATTGAAAAAGTTAATAACTTGGAAGGGAGGGGGTGCAACCTGCCATACGCTTCTTCCTCTTGGTTGCTTTGATCCATTGCCGAAAATATTTTGGCACCTATCATTCCCCCCCCCCCCCCAACCACGGACACAAATCGACACCCTTGTGCACGTGCCATGCTCAGAGAAGCTCGACACGTAGAAAATATTATTTTTGTGTCTGCCTGTAGAGGAGAAAAGAAAAACTTCGGTCGCGGAATTCCAGTACGAAAAAAGACATTTCCATCTTGTGAAATCAGAGCTTTCTGTCCCCCCCGTGGTAAATCCTGCATATATGAAATGCCCTCACTCATTTGAGTGCCCCGTTCTTAGGTCAACGAACTGAAGCTTTTCGCACCACAACATTTTGCTAATCTATCTAAAATTCATGCAGTTTTCATTTGATACTTCTTGTGTATTTCCAAAAATGCTTTCGCAGTGATATTAACTGCGAGTGTGAGCTGATGCTTTAAAAATTTTATCATATAACTTTGAAATGATAGCTGCTTACTCGTACACTCTGGAACTGATGTTTGACTTCATCAACGACATAGTAATCCAGCATTATACAGACACTGAACAAAACCGGAACCGACTAGCCGAACAGGTAAGGCACTTCATCACATAGTAGTTATTGGCATCTACCCGATTATTAAACTTGTTGCGAGCGCCAAAAAAATCAATCAATCAATCAGATATGATTATCTACGTCTGGAAATCAACTTTTAACGTCACCAGCTGGAAGACGTGAGCCACCTCATAAATAAATGATGACCTATCGATAAGAAGATAAAAGGTATTATTCACACTTTCATTTTTGATAATTTAATGATGGGATTTCTCTTAACGAGAAGTACAACAAATTCCATACAGCACTTCTGGATGTTATTTTACTTTCGTTAAATTTCATTTTTAGTACGATTATTATGGTTATAAAGTTGGGGGTTAAAAAAAAACAGTTCATTAAGAAGCCCTTAGAATATATATCGACTCAAAATAATTGACCCTTTACAGGTGTTTGACCAGCTTAACAGTACATCTGTTATAGGAGATGGGAACCTCGCAGATGTTTGTGTGACTAATTATACTGTGGTCGGAGGCAACGCTTTCGTCGAGTTCCGGATCGACTCATTCAACTATGATCTGAACGCTACTTTCTTAGAGTCGGTGTTCACTGACTCCCTTCCGCCAAACCGAGTATTTGGCTCAAATAACCGGATCGTCGCACAAGGTGAGATATGTTATTTCGTTCTTCTTTTTTTCTCCACATTTTAAACCCAAATCATTTGATTAAAGACCCATAGAAGTTGGTTCTCATGGGGAAATACAAACAAACAAGTGTTGTCAATCACCTGGATTAGCGTTCAATATTAAGACCAACTGGCCTTATTAAATGCTTTGCACCTTCCTTGCTTTTCCCTCACTCGAAGACTCTCTGAGAGACTAGGTTTTATTTCTTGATAGGCATACATATTCGCTGTGCGCAGACTTGTACATATTTCCACCAGGTCTCGTGTCAGCAAAATATGGCCTTGTGCACGTGGAAACTGGCGACCCAAATCACTTTAAATATTAAGAAATATCTGCCTCCCAACTACAAGCAAGACTGATTTTTATCAAATCCAAGATGAAGAAAATTAACATTAACAATGTTCCATCCATCTTTTTTCATTCGATTGAATTTATTAAAGCCCATGTTTACCTTTTTGGTCGTTTAAGTTTAAGTTTAAGTTAATGCGAAGTTACCAAATAATTGATTGGCAGTCTATGCGATGTTTGTATGTGGGGGTGGGGCATGGGGTAGTGCGATAGCAACCATTTCCTAAACTCAAGAGGGATTTTAGAACCCAATTGTCCCATATAAATCATGTTTGGATTTAAGATCGACTTTATCAATTTCAATTCAATTTCAAATGTATTCATGTTTCCAGCAAAACATTACAAATCAATTATAAACATTTAAAACAAATGTAAGAAATGCATGTTGGAAACAGAGGGGTCCACTAAAAAGCAATGCTTGTACAAGTGTGAACACCTCAAATGATATCATGTTTAAATAGTTAACTAACAGGCTTTTGAAATCGCATTTTTCGTAATAGGTTGATTTGTCAAAAGTCGTTTTTTTTCCTATTGTACATGTACATGCATGTAATGTCACTGTCTACAATAATGTCAAATGTACTCACAGAGGGTAGAGAAGACAATAATATTATCATCAATATTCTTGGTACTTTTTTCATCTCACATGGATGTTGTAGACATCAACGAGTGTTTAGTGTTTACTGATGCTTGCCGTAATGGGAACTGTACGAACATCTACGGGAGTTTCTACTGCACGTGTAACGAGGGCTTCCAAGGAACGGGAACAGATTCGTGCGAATGTAATAACATTTTTTATAATTATTACTGGAGGTATAATGAGAATTATTCTCCCTCAATTCAATGGCAATTATCTTGCATCTAAAGAGATTTCTTGCTTGCCGTGATGACTCAATTATACATCCCTTGTTTCCCCATGCTATTTGAATTTGCATTTCTAATATTGGCTTCACTCAAAGAACTAAAGTTTTTTGCTGACACTTTTGTAGGACATTTCTTAATAATAGAATAATTTAAACAGATATGTAGTATTAAATCATCCTATTTCTTGGTTACAGATTATATTTTTCCCAATTATTTCCTATTTGTAAAGGTGCATTTTATTATTTCAGTATTTCTTTAAATCCAAAGCACAATTATGATTTTATCCAACTCCCCCAAATGTCTATTTGAATACTTAAATTTGTATAGTATGTTCTTCTAATATTGTTTGTGTACCTATATGTTATGATATGTTCGTGATGGTATACAAGTTATATTTTATATGTAAATATTTAATTTATTTTATTTTAGTTGGGTAATTAGTTTGCAATTTGGCAATTGATCGAGATGAAATGTTATTAACAACATATTTCAATTCAATTCAACTCAACGTCAACATGTTCTGAAGGAAATAAAATACTGAAAAAAAATATTATTTGTAAATATATATATATATATATATATATATATATATATAGTGTACATTAACCTTATTATGAGGACTGAGTAATAGATAAGTACAGCTCTGAACATGAGAAAAGCATGGGAAATTGACGTATACTTAAATGTTTCAGAATGAAAATGATGAGTAATAGACTAAAATCTAGCTAAAGGTCTTACACACATCATGCACTTGTGCAAGCAGAGCCCCGTTTCATGAAATTAATTATCAAGAGCAAGTTACAAATAGTTGTTAAAATCTATTGAAATCGTGCCATTTTTATTGGCTGAGAGCAAAATTGTCATAGAAATTTAGCATTTATTTATATGTATTTTTTATGAAATGTGGACCAGAACGAAAGTTTGGTCCAAACATTTTTAGCTTTTTCTTGTCATATATTTATAATGAAGGCATCTGAAGATCAATCTGTGTCAAAGGATATTTCTTCAATGATATTCTTCCAACTAAATAATAAGAAACTCACAAATCAATTTGAATCTTTATCAGAATTCAATCTTCTCTTTAAATATGTGAAATTTGTGCAAATGCCTTTGTTATACTTTGTGTTTTGATGAACAGATATAAATGGATGTCTGAAGGAGAATGACTGCCAGCAAATATGTTACAACGAGGATGGTGGATACTCATGCGCATGCTTGGATGGATACGAGATGGATGGCGAATTTAATTGCACAGGTAGATTTGATCAAGCAAAAATTTACTTTGAATGTGTTAACGTGTTTCATGATTAAAAATAAAATATTCTCTGTTTTAAAAGTAATAGTACTACGGTTATAACATATTCACCATTATTACTATTGTAAAGAGATTTCCCAAGTTTAAATACACTCTAAAGTGACAAAAAAGCAAATTGTGAGTAGATTACCTGACGCACTCGTCCACGCTCGCATAAAAAGGGCTCGCACAGAACCCAAATCCGACTTAGGTTTAGGGTGCCAGGCTTTATATTTATATCCTTTATTTGTTTTGGTGCTCTTTTTATGTTAGCCATAGAATGCCAAATGTAATTTGTTGGAATTTTCTGAATATACAGGAATAAAAATCCGCTCCTTGCAGAGTCATATTTGTGGTGTTTTACTCATTTTGTTGTGGAATCAACGCTAAATAAAGTGCAATCCACACTAAAAAGAATGCTAGCAATGTGGAGTGGATTCTACTCGTAACAAAGTGATTCCATTAAGCGTGATTCAACATTTATAGAATTATGTAGATGCACATATTTCAGCTATCCAATCATTAAATATTTGATTGGAAAGAGGTATTTCATTATAAAAGGATGATCATCTGTCACCTTTTTATTTCTTTTGATGAGAAGGTTGGTTATTTGTTTGTTTCTAACGTCTAAGTAAAGATCTAGTTCAATTTATTTTAAAATATTTTTGAATATGGTACCCAATTAACTTTTTTTGTTTTATTTTTTAGAAGTAAATATAGCTTCATTGTAATGTCTTGAATGTTAACAAAGAGAATGTAATTATTTCTACTAATACAATAGTAACATGATCACCAAGACTTTTGTGAAACTAATTCAAGGGCAATTTAAATATCCTATTGCAATGTCCATTGATTTAATGTTTGTAATACATGGTTTTGTAATGACTCATTGTAACGATCGCACGTTGCAATAAGGGAATTTACAGATAGCACGTGGTACAAATGACCCCAAATATCCACAGATCTTTTACACATGGAAAAGTTCCACTTTGAGCATATTAGAATAGTCTGCCAAGGTCCTAGATGTGCTTCATGAATACCTTTTGTTTGCCCTCTTGAAAAGAATACTTCCACTTGCGTATCATAGAATGAACCGTTGGTGCATAAATGAATAATGTTACATAACTTTCATGAACGCATATCCAGTATAATTCTCTATGGGTTTTACCTTTTTGGTACAAATGACCTTTATTTGCCCATGCGCAGATTGTATCTGTAAACTCCCTTATAGGTGGTGGTCAAGGCTAGTGAAATCATCTTGGGGTGATTTTTTAAAAGTCTTTGTGATCTTAAAATCACAACACGCAAATGTCAGATTGCCAAATTCAAAACAAGAATGTTTACTTCTCTTAGATGTTGACGAATGCTCCAGGAATTCATCGGCCTGTGAAAATGGAATGTGTGTGAACCTGGTCGGCTCTTTCAACTGTTCATGTAACTCTGGATATGAATTAGGCAATGACAGCATTACTTGCAGTGGTAAGGATTTAATGGCAAATTGTGTACATATATGTTATGATTGTCATGATGGTATATAATATATATTTTAGTATGTAACTATTTAATTTAGTTATTTTAGTTGGGTAATTAGTTTGCAATTTGGCAATTGGCCGAGATGAAATGTTATTAAGAACATATTTCAATTCAATTCGACTTAACGTCAACATGACAATAGAATACATTTTATTTTCCCCTCAGGAACAACACCAGGAACAACCCAAGGAACAACAACGGGAACTACAACATCTTCAACACCGGGTACAACGCCAGCTTCTACACCTGGAACAACATTCGGTACAACACCTCAAACACCACCTCAAACAACACCGGGAACTACATGGGCTACAGCATCGGGTACAACGCCAGCTTCTACACCTGAAACAACACCAGCTACAACACCTGGAACGACACAAGGTATAACACCAGGAACAACCCCAGCTACAACACAAGTTAAACACGAGTTACTACACCTGGAATAACACCAGCCAGAACCCATCATCAATTGAAATATTTAAGAAGAAACTTAAGCATCATTTGTTTTAGTCGAAGTTTTAATATATTAAATAAATAGTCTATGTTTATATTGTACAGAATGGATACGTGCGCGTGATGACTTGACATTATTATTATAGGCACGAGGTTTACACTGAATGTAGTCGTAGAGCTAGATTGATATTTGCAGCAATGATGGATATGATATTGATTTACAGAACGTTAACTTCAGTTCTGGGCACGTGAGAATATCGTTAATTTTGTAAAAGAATGTTGATTGTTTGAAATAAAAGAAAGGGTGTACAACCCACCCCCCCCCCAAAAAAAAAAAAAATAATAATAAAAAAATACCATGACAAAACTGAGTAAAGTAACAATAAGAAGTGAGTAAATAATGCCATTCATCCTTTTGTTTATGGTTTTAGATTTCTTTCCTTGTTCGGGATCGAACATGAACGTGTCAATGACGTTGGTTTGCGATGGACGTTACGACTGTGACAATTATGAGGATGAATTATTATGTAGTAAGTAACAGAATACCTCCTTAGTTTTGATACTGAAATTATGTTTGACTACTTATCACATTGTTGTGACGCGTTTATGTTCCGCTGCCTACTACCAACTACATGATATAGAATAAAATTAGGCAAATTTTGAAGAAATCCCAATTAGCATACCCCCTAGTTAGTTTCACTTACAACGATTTTAGTAGCCTTTAAAAGTTTTTAAAAAGATTGCATGGAACAGTCCAAAATATACGAACAATATAAAGTATTGCTAAAATAAATATGCGGAAAAAAGGCCACATTTTTCGCATTCTATAACATTCTTCTCCACTGTTTTAAGAAATTGTGAAATTCATTGGTGTCTTGAATTTTAACAGTGAAACTTCTTCATCCTTTTGAAAACAGACTTGTTTTGTCTGTCTCATGGAGTTTTCTTGGATATTTTTCCTTATTGGGGTTGCATATGACTTATGTGCTCTCGGCCTATTAGGGGGTCCAATTTTGTTCCATCGACTCCAAGAACTCACAACTTGATAGAAGCCAAAGACTGATCCTGAATAGTCACCCATTTCATTCATACGATTTTAACCCTCAACGAACCATTACATTTATTGATAAAAATTGTGGCAGGCTGACTGTAGCCGTGGGGTTAATCCACCCAACCGACTCAAGAGAGCCCATGAATTTTGTTAATATGAAGTCGTGTATCTGAGTGCATATGAGGACAGGCCACTCTTTATATTTTGAAATGAAAAGAGATTTTTCCTATGCAAACTATATCCATATGATTTAAAGAAAATGCTCTGCTTATAAGGGGCGTGTGATATTAACCGATCCCTGTTCAAATTGTGGCGCTTTCCCGATTTTATATGTCCAGTTTTTATTTCTACGAGCAACATTTTGTGCATGAAGTAGAAAGATTAAAACCGACATAACTTTAGGTTCTGTTATGGGAACTCTGACAGATACGATTATGTCTACAAATCTTTGGGGAATGATCTTTCCTCTTACTAAACAAAGGGGGTCAAACGGTATGGATAATAATATGTCATTATCGGCAGAGGCATCCTGATAAGCTGTCAGTGCAAGATTATCGAAGCTTATCTACCAATCTCTAGTTGTAGAACTGATAGGAATCATCAACCAGTGACTTTTTATTAAATTATTTTTTTCATAATTCGTTTCTTTCTTGTCGTTTTCCCCTTACAGATTCAGCAACATATATTGAGGAAGGAGAATCACATTTCTTCTCTATCCCATCAACCCGCACAACACGATTGTATAAAGAAAGCATTCTACAAACAAACGCTACGAATGGATTTCGAATTGTGTTCCGAGATTTGTATTTGTATTATGGTGCTAAAGTCCAAATAGGAACAGGTAACGATTCGTCTAACATACAGTCTGGCATCACAACTATTCATGGAAACATAAACTACGAGCCTGATGATGTCTATGTAGATACCAATGAGATGTGGTTTGCTATCAAAGGAGCAAATAGTTACTCCATCCTTCGAATGGACATTGAGATCATTTCCATTGACCTGTCAAGTGAGTGTTGAATTTTCTTTTATAATATCGGTGGAATGTAAAGCTTTTTGTATTGAAGCAGTGAAAACTGGTATCTTACCAGTTGTAAAATGAG